CATCTACTCTCCTTCTGAATGTTAAACGTCAGTTAGGTGACGGGGTAGGTTTAGGTCTGGGGTATGGTTGGGATTAGATAACGTCATCTAACCAACGTTAAAGGGTACCCTAACACGGCGGATGTTGACGTATGGTCAAAAGCGTCAGTTGTATGACGTCTTGGGATGAGACTGTGTTATTCTGTATGTATAATTTTCTTTTGATTTTCTTAAAGTGACCAAAAAACATTTAACTCCAATTCACCATCAGTGTCGCCAAACTGATCTGTCTCCAAAACGTTCGTACACATGGTTCAGAGTTTGCGTGCCCAAATGTTCCCATCAAGTTGTTTTTATAAATCACAACTTATGCATCGGAAGTGGCGTACCTCTTTCAGGGCCTGTTTTGTGTGCACACAGTGGTTATAATTGAGCCCCCAGTTCACAATGGTCTGCCCTAAAACTAGATCCATATAATTGAGAAGCCATCTCCTCTCTAAGTGGGTAGTTCAGAATAGGCAGCAATGGACCTTATGTCAGTAGACAATAATCTAACTCTGGAAAAATAGAAGTGGAATAAGTGATACTGATGTACAATTATGTCTATTCACTTGCCTGAGTTGCAGGCCTATTTTTTTCATGTCAAACACAGGTTTTTGTTATTTGTCCACGTTAAAAGTTACAAAAAATGAAATTCATGACACATATACAAGCTTTATTTTAATAGCATTTTGCAACAACATGATAGTAGCTTTAAATGTACAATTTTAATATGTCATCTGCAAGGAAATCATAGTAGATCTTTTCTGTATTGTTTCATGAGTCATTTTTGCTGTTATGTTACCCAGTGTCGCAATGTATTTTATGGCATTTTATTGGATGTGCAAATCAGTTAACCTTTCATTTGTCTTTTATTTAGTCATTATATAGAACTGAACTGAACTGACGATGACATCACTGTTTTCTCTAGAGTGACTCTCTCTCTATATATATGACTAAATTAATAACTTTAACCAAAATGAACCATCACTGTTGCATTATTTTCCTGTTCTCTCTGTAAAGCTGCTTTGAAAAAATCTAAATTGTAAAAAGTGCTATATAAATAAAGCTGACTTGACTTAAAGACAATATATTTTTAAAGACATGCATTTTGTAAATATGGTATTGTGTGTGTGTGTGTGTGTGTGTGTGTGTGTGTATATATATATATATATATATATATATATATAAAAACATTTAAAATATCCTAAATGTATAATCTAATTTTATTATTGTAATATTGAAATATTACAGATATAATTTGGTTTTCACAGTTATTTATAGCTACAATTTCCTCAATATATCTTCTTGAAATCTTTTATTAAAGATATTGTCTCAGAAAATTTTTTTGGTTTTATTTTGTAACTTTTCCCATTAAATGTTGCTTAGTGTTATTTTCAGGCTTCAGTAAAATAATGTAACATTTGGGGGCAAATAAGCAGAGGAGCAGGCCAAAACTAGAAGCTAAAATAGCAAAAATTTCCACAGCAGTTGTAAATTTACCAGGTGAACTGACATATGCAGGTACAAATGCCAGCCACACTGCACTAAATATAAGCATGCTGAAGGTGATGTATTTGGCCTCATTAAAACTGCCTGGCAACTTCCGGGCTAAAAATGCCAGAAAAAAGCAGACACAAGCCAAAAGGCCTATGTATCCCAACACACACCAGAAGGCCAGATCAGAGCCCACACTGCAATCCAGGATGATCTTGGACTGCTGATATTTAGTGTTTCTATAGGGGAAAGGAGGGGACGCTACAAGCCAGACAGTACATATAACCACCTGAACTAGAGTGCAGCAGAAGATTATGATTCTTTGCTGTATTGGGCCCAACCATTTCATTATATTGTTTCCTGGTCGGGTAGCTGTAAAAGCTGCCAGCACCACTAAAGTCTTGCCCAGGATGCAGGATATGCAGAGGGAGAAGGTGATGCTGAAGGCAGTGTGTCGTAGCATGCAGGACCAGGATGTGGGTTCCCCAATAAACACCAAAGCGCATAGAAAACACAGAGTCAGTGATAACAAGATGAAGAAACTGAGCTCTGAGTTATTCACACGGACTATAGGGGTTCCTCTGTTGTGCAAAAATATTCCCAGCACTGTGATAGTCAGAAAGGCTCCAACTATAGCTATCACAGTCAGCGTGATTCCCATTGCATCATGGGAGAGAAATTCAACTACTTTCGGGACACACACTGTTCGGTTTTCATTGGACCAGTAGTCTTCAGGGCATGGCAGACAGTCTACTGAATCTATATAAAAAAAGAAATAAAATAAATAAATCAAATGATGGAGGATTTATATATTCAAGTAGGAAAACATACATTACCTGTCTGATTACTGATCTTGCCAATATCACATGGGACACAATCAAAGCAGCACAGAGGTTGCCCACGACGGACAGCCTTTCTGAATCCTGGAGTACAGACATTACTGCATACAGACACCGGTACCTACAGTATATCACAATTATTTTCATGATAAAGTAAAAAAGTGCACTGACTCCTTTAAATTGCATTGAAGCATAAACATCCCTTATTATACTCAATGTTTTTTATATTAATAGGGGCTAAAGGATCACATAGTGACATTTATTTGAAAAGAACAACAGATGGCAGTGCAGTGCATAGTCAACACCTTGCCTTGTTCTGTTGTTTAGACCACATAATGGCCTGTTCCTCAATCACCAGTTCTCTCTCAGAATTCTGAGCACCATCATAGAGGCCCACTTTCACAAACTGTATATCTCCACTAGAGTGTCTTTGCCAGTTTATCAAGTCATATGATGGGATTGAATCTCCCTTGATATCAAAGTTAACTTCTTCTCCAGAAACAGAAAAGGAGATTTCCTGTAAATAATGCTGAAGCTTTTGAGGATAACAAAGCCAAAGAAGAGAGGGACAATTCAGTAAAAAGAAAGCCACTTCATCACATACAATATAATTGCTATTGTGTCTGAAAACCAGTTCTCATCAAATACTAAGGTACTTCTACCTGCAATGGAAACACATTGCTTAGGTTTGCACATGCTACATTCTCAAATGGACCATTTCCAGGCCTGCAGTGAATGAGATTATGTAGAGAATGAGCAAAGGCATACACTGCTTTATACACATTGTAGGTCACACGAGGGCTGGAAGTGTTCATGTAGGCAGAGTGTTCTTGTCTGAGAGTTTCTTTCCCTGTGCAGGAGGGCAAATTACTGTTCAAGTTGGACGTGGAGGGGGAACAACCATACAGAGCCTCCCACAACTCCTGAACTTGGGGGTTTGAAGGGTACCTTTCTGGGGTCACTGTTTTGAGGTAATCCTGGAGACCTGGGATGTGTCCTTGACGTATTGCAAACCCAATTGTGCCATGTAAGAATGTATACGTTTCTGCTAACATTGAAGCAGTAATCCAAGCCTCACTTGCAATCCACTGAATTCCTGTGATATTTTGAGTCACAAACTCTCTCAAGAAAGGGTAAAATTCCCCCTCTCCTGAAAAAACAACAACCACATTAGCTGTGGATTCCTTCATTACTTTAAGAATCTTTAGGACTTTTTCTTGGGTATAGTCTTTTGGGATCATTTCATGATAGGCCAAACAAATGTTAGTATTTTCAATTTCTCGCTTTAAGCCTTGTAAAGCAAATCTGCCATAGTCATGGTCTTCAGTGACCACACCAATCCATGTCCAGCCAAACCTTTTTAACAGCTGTGCAATAGCTTTGACCTGATAATCATCATTGGGAACCACTCTGAAAAATGTTGGGAACTTCTTCCGATCACTTAGACAAGAGCAGGTTGAGAAATAACTTATCTATAAATAAAAAAGACAAAAACAAAAAAACAAAAAAAAAACGTTGTACACATATAACAGAAAAATGTATAGACAATACAAAAATCTTGCAAGACATCAGTTATATATATATATATATTTACTTACCATGGGAATTCTAAAAGGCTCCAGAGTCCTGGAGACGACAATGGATTGTGAAGATCCAGATTCCCCTACAATTCCTAATAAAGGACTAGTTCCAGAACAGATTGAACTCTGAACAACATCCTGCCCATTCAGTACTGCCAGGACTGCTTTTTGAGCCTTTACAGGGGTGGCACAAGAGTCAAAGACACTATAAGCCAGAGTATGGTTTGGTAAAAGGTCTTTTCTGTTGTTAATTTCCTCCACAGCAAGCTTCATAGTGAGAGCCCATCGGAAAGCTCTTGGATCAAACCTGCATTAAAAAAAAAAAACACCATAGTTGAAATTCAATGGATTGTTTTTTTTTTTTTCAGAATTATTTATTGGACAAAGAATAAAGTAAACAGTAAACAATAGATTTTTTATAAATTACAGATTAGGAAAGACATATGGGCAAAAAAACATAAGAAATGTCCTTACCCTTGACAGTGTGCTGCCAAAGGTCTCTTAATGTAGTCTGTTGATGGAAGTTCTACTCTGTAGTGTAAAGGAAAAATTCCTCCTATTGTGAAGTCACCACTCGACAAGAACACTGGAAGATTAAAGTCACCATGTGGGTTGCAGCTTGAAGTCACAGCTGCACTAGAAAGGTGAAATACAGAGACAAAAATCTGAATCATTATCCTGTTAAACTCCACGAGAAGAAAAAAAAATCATAGTGTTGCTTCTCTTACCTTCGGTTTTATATGTTAGTCATGCATATCATTACCATTAACAGCGAGTCCCACCTTCTTTGTTGTGATTGGCCATCTCCAACATTTTGACATTGACTGGAGTACAACAGAGGAGCATCAAGAATAGCAAATATTGTGGGAGATTTAAATGCATTCACACCATTATATGAAAACTGAACTGACATCACTCTTTTCTCATATATATATACAGTATACATATATATATATATATATGTCACGGGTGACAAAATCGCTTGGCGATCGGAACCCTCCTGAGAGTCGCAAGTTTCCTAGGGGAACGGATTGTGTGTAACACGCCACTGCAGTTCCGGGCGTGATAGAATCATGCCCGCACTGATTAGCGCTAATGCACTGCAGGTGCGAGAGAGAGAGAAGCGGCGCTCACACAGGTTTCCTGTTTGACGAGTCAAGATAAAAGAAGGAAGCAGGCAGAAGGGAAAGAGAAGACACAGACGGGGAAGGAACAGGGGAAAGGGAGAGATGCCCGGTGAAGAGCAAGGGGGGCGCTCGGCGCATGCTGGACGGCGCGTGTGGGGAAAGGGGAGTTTTGAAGTGCTCGTGCAGGATACAAGCTTTCTCGGGAAGATCGTTGGGGCAGGGAGACCGCCCATTTAAGCTGCTGGATCAGAGTAATCGTCTGTGGGAAGACTGCTGGACTGAGCTATCGACTGGATCTGTGCTGTGGAAGGAGAGAGAAAAGATAAGTGCACTGATTTCATCTTATGAACATTTAAACCGCTTGAAGAGTATATGCAGTACCTGTGGATCTGACTGTTGGAGGAACTATGTGTTTCAGAGTGTGTTGAGGAGGAATTGAAAGTGAACCCCGGAGACAAACGGAGTTTGTTGATCAGACTCCGGGGCCTCTGATCAGCCCTATCGTGTGAGTGAATTGCAGTGCTTTTGCCTTATTGATACACATTGATTTATGGCTGTGGAATTGAATTGAACACAAGTGTGATGTGTCTTTGCTGAGAAGTGGCCCCAACCCATGCTTACACGTTTGTGGAAAGTTATTAAATCTGCTCTCTATCCGAAGCCTAGAGTGATACAGCTGAACTGAAGAGAGTACTGTGTACTTTGAGAGGATCCTTACCTGTTCTATTTACTGTTCGAGTCCTGAACCATGCAGCACCGCTGGTAACGTAATCTTTTAACCCACTGTCTCCCTACTGTGAACTGAACCATGCAGCACCGCTAGTAACGTAATCTTTTAACCCACTGTCTCGACTACTGTGAACTGAACCATGCAGCACCGCTGGTAACGTAATCTTTTAACCCTTTGTCTTGCTCCTATGCACCGCAGAGCGTACTTTGTACTGTGGAGAAGAAGCAGGCAGCATTCCTGGTGAAGTAGTCTTTTAACCCATCGTCGTCCTGCTGTGAACCGAAGAGAGTACTGTGTACAGTGAGGGTTCCCACTTGCTATACTTACTGCTCGAGTTCTGGAAGTCTGAAACGGTTAAACTACTGTTCCATTTCTGGCACCGACGAGAGTACTTGGTACTGTGGAGAAGAAGTAAGCAGCATCTCCGGTGAAGTAACCTTTTAACCCATTGTCTTCCTGCTGTGAACTGAAGAGAGTACTGTGTACGGTGAGGGTTCCCACTTGTTACACTTACTACTCAAGTTCTGGAAGTCTGCAGCATTGCTGGGGGAAAGTAAGCTTTTTAAATTACTGTTACATTACTATGCATCGACGAGAGTACTTTGTACTGTGAAGACTCCTTACCGGTCACACTTACTGTCTGAGTTTCTAAGTTGCAGCGCTGCTGGTGAACGGAGCCCTGAAGCCGCCGTCTGAGAGGCACGGTGATGGCCGATCCGTGTTCGACCGTAGTCGAAGGATACCTGGAGGACAGTGAAGCCTATACAATTGGCGCTCCTCGCTACGTTGTTCAATAAAGATTGTTACTCCTTTGAAACTTACCTCTGTCTTCGTGGTCCTCTGTCGTGTGCCTCCTGTGTCGGCTCCTCCCAGTGGTGACCGTTCAGTTTGGGAGTCAGAGAGGGACAGGGGGTGGTCGGTTATCTGAATAACCCCCCCCCCCCACCCCCACCCTCGACCCCCAGTGATATATATATATATATATACTCACCTAAAGGATTATTTGGAACACCATACTAATACTGTGTTTGACCCCCTTTCGCATTCAGAACTGCCTAAGTGGCACTGATTCTATAAGGTGCTTAAAGCATTCATTAGAAATGTTGCCCCATATTGATAGGATTGACATTTTAGTACATCTTGCAGTTGATGTAGATTTCCGGGATGCTCATCAGTTCCCGTTCCACCACTTCCCAAAGATGCTCTATATGGTTGAGATCTGGTGACTGTGACATTTTAGTACAGTGAACTCATTGTCATGTTCAAGAAACCAATTTTAAATGATTTGAGCTTTGTGACATGGTGCATTATCCTGCTGGAAGTAGCCATCAGAGGATGGGTACATGGTGGCCATAAAGGGGTGGACATTGTCAGAAACAATGCTCAGGTAGGCAGTGGCATTTAAACGATGCTCAACTGACACTAAAGGGCCTAAAGTGTGCCAAGAAAACATCCCCCACACCATTACACCACCACCACCAGCCTGCACATTGGTAACAAGGCATGATGGATCCATGTTCTCATTCTGTTTACGCCAAATTCTGAACTTACCATCTGAATGTCTCAACAAAAATCGAGACTCATCAGACCAGGCAACATTTTTCCAGTCTTCAACTCTCCAATTTTGGTGAGCTCTTACAAATTGTAGCCTCTTATCCCTATTTGTAGTGGAGATGAGTGGTACCCGGTGGGGTCTTCTGGTGTTGTAGCCCATCCGCCTCAAGGTTGTGCATGTTGTGGCTTCACAAATGCTTTGCTACATACCCCGGTTGTAGCATGTGGTTATTTCAGAAGTTGCTCTTCTATCAGCTTGAATCAGTCGGCCCATTCTCCTCTGACCTCTAGCATCAACAAGGCATTTTCGCCCACAGGACTGCTGCATACATGATGTTTTTCCCTTTTTTTCACCATTTTTTGTAAACCCTAGAAATGGTTGTGCGTGAAAATCCCAGTAACTGAGCAGATTGTGAAATACTCAGACCGGCCCGTCTGGCACCAACAATCATACATATTCAAAATTGCTTAAATCACCTTTCTTTCCCATTCTGACATTCAGTTTGGAATTCAGGAAATTATCTTGACAAGGACCACATCCCTAAATGCATTGAAGCAACTGCCATGGCGTTGGTTGATTAGATAATTGCATTCAAGAGAAAATGAACCTGTTCCTAATAAACATTGTAGATTGTAGATAGGTGAGTGTATATCAAATAGAGTAACAACAAAAATGAACCATCACTGCACTTACTTAAGCTGGACTATGACGCCATTTTCTTCTAGATCTGCTGAACAGTTTATTTCACATGTATATTAGACGAGAAAGGAGACACCAAATTCATAAATCGTGACATTGTCTCTCTCACTGTTGTAAGGTCTGGACCCATCAGACACACACAAATTATTAATTATATACAAAGGTTTATGAAACTCCAAAACTAACATCCCAAAGGAACTAAACAACAGGGCTGAAACAGTGTCATGTTACAGGGTTAATAAGGAGGTTTTACGACCACATTCCTTTGGAAGAGAGTGCATGTGCAAGAGAGAGACAGTGGGAAGACAGGAACAATCTTTAATACAGACTTTGCGGCATAAATCATAGACTAACTGAACTATAACTGAACACGCTTCATAGCACTGTGTAAATGATTTACTGTCTTGTGTACTATTATGTATATATAATATTATGTACCTTGGTATACAACCAACTAACGATCAATGCAAACCTTGCCTGTATCATGCCTCCTACCTAATTAATCCTCATTTAATGACTCACAATTTAATGTCTTTTGTTATTATTTTAAATGAGTGTCCCTGGTGGCCAAAAGCTGCATTCTGTAAGTTTAATATTTATTATAGCTAAGTTCCTTGCACAGTCAAAATAGTATCTAAATAAGATACTTTTAGTTGTTATTAGGCCTATCTTGTTCTGAGTTACAGTACGTTGAATGGATATAGAATATAGCCTATCTGTTGTGAATATGCAATAATTACGGGCTAGCCTAATAATGATATTATTATTTATAAATGAATAATTAAACTTGTTGGGTGTTGTTTTGTTTTTAAAAGATAGCCTAATATAATGAATGCATTAATCTCTCAATTGGGTATTTATCATTAAAGATATAGAGTTTGCAATCTAACGGTCAAAATGACCGCTTGTGGCACTTATAGTGTTAAGTTTGTTATAGTGTCCATGCTACAGGTCTGAGGCACCCCAAAGGGGCAGAGGCACCTATTGTATCTGTTTGCTTTATTATTATTTTAAATTATTATTACATATTTACAGTGTTTACAGACTATAGTAATAAAACCATCAAAGCTATGGTGAAATTAACAAACATAGAAAATAACACATTTAAAGTTATTATGTGACCACTTTATTAAACCAGAATTGCATTAAAGATTACAAATGTTCTAATACTTTTTAATTGAATGTTTAAAGGTTGTTTTGTGGTTGAATGTGTTTCAGGTGTGCATTATAATTGGTTAAAAGAAGTGATTAAATTCATAAGGGATTGGTACATTAAAGATTGACAGCAGGAGGGGCCTATGCTTTTTGGTTTGCTTGTCTTCAGATGAAAAGTTAAATCCATCCCTCAATCACAGATTGTCTATATATGCTGCACCCATTAGATTAATTTCTCTTTGTCAGTTATGGCATGGCTTTATGCAATGTTGCTTACATTTTGGCCTCTTTGTATTGGTTTGCAGAGTCAGCTTAATAGCAAGGACAACTGTGTCTTTCAGGGAGACGAGGATAAATACAGCTTTTACCAGGGGGGAGATGTGGTTTTGGGAGGGATTTTCCCTTTGCATTCCAGCCCTAAATCATCATTATTTTCTTTCAAGACCAAACCTAAACCAACCATGTATAAATTGTGTGTCATGCTTTTATAAACTGATATGTGTTGTGTAAAACAATTTAATTCTTTATCATATTGCAATTATGCAATGCATTCAAAAAGTGTGTGTGAAATCTGTTGCAGCTTCACCCCTCGAGCACTGAGGTGGATGCAGACGATGATCTTTGCTGTAAGAGAAATAAACCAGCGGCAAGACCTTTTGCCAAACCTATCTCTGGGCTACCACATCAGGGACAGCGGTGATGACATACCAGTATCTGTCAAGAGGTCTCTTCTCCTGGTCAATGGACAGCCTGAAAGGGACAGTGGACAGAGCTGTGAAGACACACAAAAGCAGCCGAGCCCTGTAATTGTGGGAGATGCTGCATCAGGAATATCCATGGCTGTTCTGAGAACTCTAGGCTCATTCAAAATACCCTTGGTAAAATATTTATCATTATTCATTTTTGCCTTTCTTTCTCGGTTATGAAGGCTGTAATGTTTTATTGATTTAATGCTATCATATACAGTATTGTTTGACAGATAGATTAATATTACTTAACTGATCTTCAGTAAGATTAAAATTAAACTTTAAATCTTACTGAAATGTGCTTTTTATATTTTAGGTGAGCTACTTTGCATCCTGTTCCTGTCTCAGTAACAAGAGAGAGTTTCCAGCATTCATGCGGACAATGCCAAGTGATCTATTTCAGATTAAAGCTTTGGTAAAACTTGTATATTATTTTCAGTGGACATGGGTTGGGGTGATTGGTGTGGATTCAGACTATGCTCGGTTTGCCATCCAGCTCTTCCTGAAAGAATCAGAAAGATTTAATATTTGTCCTGCTTATGTCCACTTTTATCCTGTTGCACTGACACAAGATGCAGTGGAGGAGCTTGTGAACATTTTAAAAGCCTCATCTGCAACAGTAACAGTAAACTTCTCTGGGGAATCAGAACTACATAGTATACTAAAAGAGTGCAGACGCCAAAATGTTACTCATCTTCAGTGGATTGCCAGTGAGGCCTGGGCCACATCAAAAGCCCTCTGGGAGGATTTTGGGGATCTGTTAAAGGGAACATTGGGGTTTGCCATACGGAGAGCTGATATCCCACATCTTGGCAGTTACCTCAGAAGAGTAATTTTTTCTATTGCTGAGACGTCCCATTTTCTCTCTGAGTTTTGGGAAGAGACTTTTTATTGTCGGCTGAATGGGTCCTTAAACACCCATGTACATGGAGAAAGGGCACAGAACTGGCCACCCTGCAATGGCAGTGAGAGTTTGGATGATGTGTACACTCCTTATACAGATGTGTCACAACTCAGAGTGTCCTACAATGTTTATAAGGCTGTGTATCTCATAGCACATGCTCTACACGACATGAGTACATGTGTCCCAGGAAAGGGCCCCTTTCAAAAGGGGACATGTGGGAGTCTGAATCAAATTCTGCCATGGCAGGTGTGTGTTACTCACCATTTTACGTTCTTTGCGTTTATAGCACTGATAAGGAATTATCAAGCAGTGTACAAGTTTTAAAGCAACGGTTAGATATAACATCTTTGTATCTAAATATTTCCATCCATGCATTTGAATGTTTTTGCTTTGCATCATCCTTTCTCCCAACCTTCATCTAAGCTCCTGCACTATATGAAACAAACACATTTCACAACATTAGGGGAAGAGGTCAGATTTGATGACAACAGTGATCCAGTTGCATCCTACGATCTGATGAACTGGCAAAGAGGGTCTGATGGCTCCCTTCAGCTAGTGAGGGTGGGATTCTATGATGCCTCCCTTGAAGAAGAAAAGGACCTAATAATAGATGAGCCAGTAATTATGTGGCACAGAGGAGAGAAGGTGTGTGCCATCCCACTCATCACCAGATATTGTTTACTATGTTTGTTTTGCCTTCAAATCTTCCCAATTATTATGGCTGAACTTAATCAAAT